CTCAAATGCAACTCCACACTTCCTACAATTCTACCACCTAAAATTTGTTGGATTTGGGGTCAATTTTTTGAGAAAACGAATATAATGTGAAAATATTCGATTGGGTGTGAGTTTAAATTAATAAACTGGTAATGCATCACTGTTTTATTAGATATTCTTTTTAGTTTGAATTTAGAGCATTTTTAAGTTTAGGTTTGGTGTAATGACTAATGAGTTAGAGATGGTTTAAGTATGAGACATCTTATCTAATTATCTCTTTAGAGCTTTTAGCTATATGGGATAACCCAACACCCAATAACTAAGTTTGTTTTTACTATGACTACTGCAACAAAACAACAACAATAATTCTGTCTCAATATGCTCGTCCAATTGGACTTCTCACTCTTCAAGATGAGAGATGGCCTCTTTTTATCTCATGCTCCATATAAAGATTGGAGTACATTACAATGATTTTGGATTTTTTTTAGTTTTTGCATTATAACCACTTTCTTATCATAAGGCGAAATCTAGACAAATACATTGAGGCAGGAGTAACAAAGAAGGCTTTACAACTGCAATAACGACATTATCTCCTAATCTATCTGTACCCTGATGTACGAGGCTTGTAATTTATACAGATGTTTGTGAGCTGTGATGGGGAATGTAACGCCACTGACCAAGTCTGCTTCAGAAGTGGGAAGAACCCGTTGAATTTCCTGCCGTATCTGAACTTATTGATGACAACATTCCATCTAACTTCTTGCTAGAATTTGGTGTCTCAACTTCCTCATCCGGCATCATGCCAAGAATGGCCTCTAGTTCCCTGACCACTTCAAGCATTGGTAGCCTTTCTACCTGATTGTCATTGCTGCACCTTAGTGCCAATGCTACAAACCTCTCTGCACACTCTGAGGGGTAAGAACCCATTCTACTGTCCAGAATGGATAAGATTTTTCCAGATTGATGTGCCATGTTGACCTGAGATCAAAGTTTTTTGGAAATTGTTACCTTGAGTTCTTTTCTTTTCTGGTTTCAATGCTTTTCATGAAGATGGGAAACTTCTTGTAGCGTGTTTCAGAAGTGAGCAAAGCAAATGCAGAACTAAAAACAGTTAAGAAGAATAGCATGACATACCTCACGAACAATATTTTTACCATTGGATATCGGACGCATGCCTGTCAAGATCTCCAGAAATACCACCCCAAGGCTGTAAACATCACTTTTATCGGTCAACTTGTGAGTAAGGCAATATTCAGGATCAACGTAACCCTGCACGTCCAAACACAATCTCATGGGATTTAAACTTTAAAAAGAGTACAAGAATGCCTGTTTAATCTTGACAAAGAGAGGCGAAACGTACAGGTGTTCCCCTCACAATTGTGGATACGTAGTTGGGTAGCATCCCTTCATCATTTATGACAGGTGCAAGCCGTGACAGTCCGAAATCAGCAACTTTTGCTGTGAGTTTAGAGTCTAGGAGTATGTTACTGGCTTTGATATCTCTGTGGAATATTGGAGGGTGAGCTTCAGTGTGGAGGTAAAGAATACCCTTAGCTGCACCAAGCGCTATACGTAATCGTGCTCCAAACGTCAAACTTTGATTGCTTTTTTCTGTAAAATTGAAAGGAAAAAGAAGGTAAACAAACCCGTAGGAACTGACACCCCACTGGTAGCATTACGAGGGTTGTAATCACTAGCCTATGCCAAAAATGACAAAGGAGTGTTCACTTTCTGAATGGAGATATAATGTTTATATGCATGCTATTGTACCAAGGTCACCCCTCGTGTATCTTTAATTTCCGATTTCAAATCATAACTTTAGGGAACATAAATAAATCGTCGTTACAAAACATTAACACAAAGCAGACTAGATCACAACATTTTACTGTTTCCATACCCGAAAGCCATTCTCGCAGTGTGCCATTGTGCATGAACTCATAAACTAGCATCTGCAAAGTGCAAACCCACCAACAAGAGACTGAGAATAATCTTGACTTATATATTATGTTACGTGTATTTTGTGCAGAAAACAATAAGGTTTGAGCCAAGATTGCTCTAAATCAGAGTGAGGAGCTATTTGGTTTGTTGTATCATGGGATGATTTGGAGGAACCACGAATAATTCCTCCCTATCCCATGATAATGATGACGGACACTTGATTAGGTCCTAATACACTATACTCAATTACTCACACAGTCATACCTAATCCAAAAAGTGGAACAATGCAAACAATTCTTTCACTTACAAACTGTAGCCAAACTCCCTAGTCTAGAGAGCAGGCTAGTTTACGTTAAGCATTAATACTATATATCCATTAATACTATATATAAAGAATCGGAATATTTAGGAGCCTTCCCCAACTCAGCATACCTGCTCCCCTTTTTCATCACAATATCCAACCAGTGAAACGAGGTTGCGGTGATGTAACCTTGACAATATTTCTATTTCTATCAAAAATTCCTTTTGTCCTTGCAAGGACCCTTCTTTTGCTCTCTTGATAGCTACAACTGTTTTGTCAGCTAAATTTCCCTGGTAAACTATCCCATAACCACCTTCACCAACTTGAGTTGAGCCATCAAAATTACGAGTAGCCAATGCCATTTGTTTAAAGCTGAAGCTTTTAACACCATCAATTTTGATACAGAGCTTTGGGGCTACAAGAAGGCGCATTCAAAATTATTGGGAGTAGTCAACATATATATCAGACATAAGCAAAAGCAACTAGATCTGAAAGCTTACAGAAGTGCTTCCTTAATATGGCTCCTCGATATCTAGCATGCCTTCTTAAAATTAAAATAGTAGCAATCGTAGTAATTGTTGCAGCAAAAATAGCAGCGGTAGCAATACAAGCTATAAGCACACTCTTTTTTGTAACCTTGCCTTCAGAAGCAAACTTGACTGCAGCAGTACATAGACAGATCAGTAAGATAAAAACATCAAATAAAGATGTGGTTAGAATGCATGAAGCTTCTACCAGTAAAACTATGAACAAGGCCGTAGCTAAGAGTGCTTACTATATGAATATGGGCCAAGAAGAGTGAAATTAAGAAGTTCATAAGGTCCAAAAAAGTTATTTCCAGGAAAATTCCAATCTCCAAAAATGTCACGGATACGAAGCACCTCACTTTCATTAAATGTGTGGTTGACACCGACCACAGGGAAAAGCTTTAAGTACATCCTGAGGCGAGGTCCTTCTTCCCAGCATTGTGAATCAATGGACAATTGATATGGTTCCAGATGTAGAGAACTAGTTACATAAAACTCAAAATGTTCAATATATGGACGGATGTAAGAAAAGCTAGGACTTTTCAGCCTATATCCAATTCTTATAGGTGAGGCACAGAAGCATGGGGTAGGTGATGCAGGGACATATTCATAGTAATTGTCAGTTGGACAAGCTTGAACTGGACATGCAACAGTCAAATTTTTCAAAGTATTTGGCTCTTCACTTTTTCCACTTCCATGTCCACAATATTGGTCAATGTTTCTGACGCTGGTGTTGCTGCAAATGGGATTCCCGCTAAGCCTGGAAATAAGTTGTCAAATTTACTTCTGGCACAAACAAATACTTAGATAATGTAAACCCCACACAATGTACGGTTTAGGGTTGCTATGTTTACTATAATTGGGCTAAGTCTATTAAGGTTGGGAGATAACACTAAACATACAACATTTATTATCTGCACATGTTTTGCTTGTTTTAGTTCTGACTTCTGATTAACTTAGGCTGTTAGATTTAATCGGGTTTGTTCACATATAACCGAATTGTTAATGAGTCAATGTTTGGGTCAGTTAGTATGGTGTGTGTTTTACATATTTAAATAATTTTTTTTAAAAATTGGGTAGTTTCTAAAAGCAGTTACGGATAGTTTCTAATAATAGTAATAGGTGAGTTGGTATGTAATAGGTGTGTTGGTTTGTAAAAGTTGTCTCAGTTTGTTCTCTATTTATATCCAGGAACACCAAGAATCCTGTACAAGTTAACAACAATAAAATACTCTGCTTTGCTTTTGTGTCTATCAATTGGTATCGGAGCAGTCTCAATTGCGATTAGGGGTTGTGCGATCTACACCAGAAGGGATTGGCCACATCGTAAAACAGAGCATTTCAACTTCTTCGACAATCGATCAAAAATCCTTGACGAAATTTCTTCCTCGCCTAGAAAAAGAACATTAAGTTGCTAGTTTTTTTGGGGGGCAGAAGTATTCCCCAACCAAAAGGGGCAGGAAAAACGAATCAGGGGGTAGCTTTTGTTTAGCGGCTTGGAAGACGGAAAAGCATGTACTTGTTTTCAGGTTGATGGTTGATTGCAGGTGGCCTACGACCCGGGAAGGAATCGAAGTCTAAGAATTTTGCAAAAATTGTAAAAAGAATGTCGTGCAATGGAAGAGAACCCAAGCAGACAGATTGTGACTACAAGAGAGAATAGTTAACTATCTTTTAAGGTTCCAGTTCTAAATGCTACAAACTACACTATTCGGACCGTGAAGATCAAATCAATTTTTAACGTTAATGGGATTTTGGAGGTGATCGAACTAGGAACAGAAATTGATCCAAAGAAGAACAATATGGCGATAGAATATCTGTTTCAAGCTTTGCCGAAAGAGATCGTGTACCAAGTTGCTCAGTTTACCAAAGCTAAAGAAATTTGGGATGCTTTGAAGACTCGCTTTGTTGGTATTGACGGGGTTAAAGAGGCATGGTTAGAGACACTCAAATCAGATTTTGAGTCTCAAAAGATGAAGAACAATGAGTCACTTGATGATTTCGCTGGTAAAATTAGTCAACTTGCAACACAAGGAAACAACCTAGGGTCTGCATTTCAAGACAAAAGATTGGTTCAAAAGCTTTTGGGTTCCGTACCTAAAACTTTCATACAGGTGCTGCGGTTGAACAGCTTGCCGACATTATTACAATGTCGTTTCAAGAAGCAGTTGGAAGATTGAAAGCATTTGAGGAACGCATAAAAAAACCAAGTGAGGAAGGAGAGATGCATGGTAAACTATTCACTAAAGGTGATGGAAAAGAGAAGGTTAAGGAGCACAAATGTGAGCATTGTGGTTATTGGAGCTCAAACTGAGAAGACTTTAGACATGGCCGAGGTAGAGGTTGGGGGTCCGGGAAAGGTCAGCATAGTGGTCGATTTCAGCGGGATAAGAGTCACATTAAGAGTTTCAAGTGCAACGAGCTTGGGCATTTTGTGCGCGAATGTCCGAAATGGATCAAAAGGAAGACATTACAAATTTAGTTCACATATAACCGAATCAGTAATGAGTCAATGTTTGGGTCAGCTAGTATGGTGTCGTTTAGTTTGTTTTACATAATTAATTTTTAAAAAAACCAGTTGAGTAGTTTCTAAAAGCAGTTATGGATAGTTTCTAGAAAAAATTGCACTAAATAGGACTAAAACATTAGTCATTTCTCAATGTAGGACTTAAACTTTTTTATTCCTTAAATAGGACTTAATAATGTCTAGTGAGAGGAATAATGTCGAGTGATGGCGGACATTTACTTGAATAATGACTAATAGATAATGACCAATGGTCCTACATTGGGAAATAAAAACATATGGTCCTATATTGAGGAAGTCGTTATGTTTTAGTCCTATTTATGTAAATTCTTTTAGTTTCTAATAATAATAACAATAGGTGTGTTGGTCTGTAATTGGTGTGTTAGTTTGTAGAAGTTGTGTCAGTTTGTTCTCTCTCTCTCTCTCTCTCTCTCTCTCTCTCTCTCTCTATATATATATATATATATATATATATATATATATATATATATATATATATATATATATATATATATACACACAAAAAACACAAAGAATCTTGTACAAGTTCACAACAATAAAATACTCTATATTTGTTTTTGTATGCTCGCTTATCCATGTTTTAAAGTGGGAAAAGGAAGAAATGTACCTTAAAGTGACGTTAACCGGAGGATCAAGGTCTCCTAAAATGTTCAAAAGCAAATTATTCTGAAGATCACTAACTCCACAAAATATATGGGAAAAAAACATTAGTGAAGCATTCCTTCAAATTATACACTCAAGTATCAACATTTTAAAATCTTACATCCTGAGTCTAGATGTTGAAGTAAAGGACTTGTTTTTCCAAATATCCGTGGCAAATGAACCGTTCAAAAAGTTGTTGTCAAGTGACCTGGAAATAAGGAAAACCCCAACTTCAAAAACGTTTTATTGGTCGAACATTACAGGAGAAGTTTAAGTTACTATCAAACTCAGTTTTCTAAAAGTATGTAGACCCTCACAATCTTTGTAGAGAAGGAAGATTTGAGAAACCTTCGGGGATAGCTCCATTAAGATGATTGTTTGACAAAATACTGCAAAAGAAATTGGATGAAAAATATATCAGAAAATTAAAACAAAATTTTCTTTATTGTTTGACTTTTTTGGTCAAATGTGTCAAACTTTTCCCTTAATTTGTGGAAAAAGTATATTAAATCATAATATAAATTTGATATTATTGGATTCATTTTAAGTAGTTTTGATATGTAAAATTTTTATAACATTTCTTAATTTAATACTATATTTATTAATGGTCAAAGTGCGTAGTAGTTTGACAAACAGTAAAGAACTTTTTGGGACGGGGGAAGTAATAAATATCCAACACGTAAAGAATAAAATAATTCCCCCGTATATAACTAATTTCTTGAAGTTGAGTTCTAGACTAGTCAATCTGTGAATTGCGAAATGTGAACCAAAGGTTGCTTACATATTTGTCATATTGTTGGAGAGCTTTTCTAATGGTATAGATCCTGATAGGTAATTCCAACTGAGATCTCTGTAAATTAATAAGGAAGCAGGACTAAATAACCAGAACCAATCACAGATGGAATCATAAAGAATCAAGCATAGAAGTTGAAGAAACCAATTGAGAAAAGTTGGAAAACAAGCATGACATCAAACTCACACATAGCTTAGGTTATGTATTCTGCTAAGGTCGGGGATGCTTCCTTGCAAACTGCAGTTCCTTAGACTCCTGCCAATTCCAATAAAAAATAAACAACGAGTCGTGAGATATTTTCTTTGGGCAAGTTACGCGGAGATTCTAAACAACTAAGAATCTAATCTTATATGGCGTATAAAAGATCATAAAATTGCTGCACAATATATATTTGTCTATTTTGTGTGCATGTAGACATAAAACACAACATGTATGTCATATATGTAAAACTAAAACATGATCAAATGCATATAAGCACACCAACAATTTAATAGACACAAAATTAAATACTCCCTCCGTCTCACCCCAAAAAGCACTCTTGCTTCTTCGGGGGATTAAGTTTAAATTTAAAAGTTAACGAAAGGTAGGGGTGGACGGGTTAAAATAAGAAAGAGAGTGTAAAAGTGATTGAAAAAGCAAGAGAGAGAGAGAGTGTGTGTGTAAAAGTGATTGAAAAAGTAAGAAAGAGAGTGTAAAAGTGATTAAAAAGATAAAATAATAAATGAAAAGATAAATTAGTTGTTTCAAATTTGGTAAGACTGCCTTTTGGGTTCGTGGGACAACCAAAATGGCAAGAATGCCTTTTGGGGTGGGACAGAGGGAGTATGTTCAGCATATCTAGTTTCCAACATTGAAAGAAGAGTTATATTTTTTTACCTCGTACAAGAATCGGGACAATAGAAAGCTATAGAAGAATATCGGTCTTATAGTTTGAGGCCAAGAGTTGTGAAACAATACCAAGTCCACAAGAGGCCTAGAGGTCAATAGTTTTCTTATCTTGTGGCCCTGAGTACTTTATTATGATTTGGACCAAGCCTTTTGAAGAATAAAACAATTCAGAAAATGAAGAACCAGATAAGGCTGAGGAGCACTTACAACTTCACTAGTCCTGACATGTTTCCATATGAAGTTGGAATCTCAGAACCACTGAAATTATTATTATCGAGCTGACTGCAAAATGAAAAACCAAAACTTGATCATCTTGATAGTTAATAGTAGGGAAAAGTACCATACACCGGCGTAGAGGTCCCTATGCAATCTAAAAAGGTGCAAATTAGTCCTTTTTACTCAAAACTGAAGCAATTTAGTCCCTATACTATTCTTGTTTGTTCAATCGGGTCCTTCTCTTATCTTTTTCCCTTACCTACTACCCCAAACTGTTAAAACGATGACGTGTAATTTTATTTAGCTTACATGGAAAATATTGTTGTGACATGCTAGTTCATACATTATTTCTTTTACAATTTTATTTTACTGTGAACTTGCATTTGTTTATTTATTTTATGGAAAACTAGAAATTGCTTATTGTATGATGACTAATGTTGGTCCTTATACTCTTTACCTAACGAACAATTTAGTCACCGTACAATAAGCAATTTTATCCGTACGATTTTCTATAAAATAAAACATATAAAAAATGCACATCGCACTTGGTAAATTTTTTTTGAAATGATTAAGTATGAATCAACATAGCACGTCAGAATTGCCTATGCCACCTATATTGTAATTACATGTCATCATTTTAACAATTCGGGGAAGCAGGTAATGAAAAAAGTAAACGAAAGGACCAAATTGAAAAAAAAATGAATAGTACATGGACTAAATTGCTTCAATTTTGAGTACATAGACTAATTCGCACATTTTAGATAGTACAACGATACTTTGTCCATTAATAGTATATTAGTATCTTGAAAATTACAAAACAAATAGTGCATGTCGTCTAAAGTAATTGTTATCAAATGGAGAGATGATTATAAGTGTTGTATTTGAAATGTAATGTTGTATTATTTCACTGGCTTCACTAATCACATACATATATATATACACGTTCTAATGCTTAATTGGGTTCTGCCAATTTAATTAGGGTAACAATCTATATTCTCAAACAATCCCTCTCAAGTTGGAGAACATATATTTGTTATGCCCAACTTCTGTTACAGAGCGTGGAGACTACTCGGAATGAGAAGGAGAGTCTCGAGGCTTGTAACCGTAAAGAGAGAGAAAAGAAATATAGAGGAAGAGAAATATTTTGGGAAAATATTCTTAGTTCATTACAATCCAAATACCAAATATATATAGGAGCCCACATCAGTGCTTACACGTAAGGAAGGGATATAAAAGGGAAGTTATGAAAGGACAAAACAGTAATAAGTAGCTAATAATTGGGGAAGTCTGCATCAACTTCCTGCAAAGATAATCAACCTTGTTCCAATTAGTGCTTTATTGCTTTTGGGAACAAATACCCAAATTGTTTCTGCCATACTATAATACTGGTGTTTCAGGTGCTTCCACCACCTTTTCTACCCCCAACACGTGGGAGGGATGTCATCAACATCAAGAAGACATTTACGAGAGGAAGGTGTAAAAAGATCACCACATTGTCCACCTCCATTGACTAGCGCCTCACTACAATGGAGAGTGTGTGGAAGTCACTCTTTGATCAATTCCAACACCCGGGCCAGGGGATTGATTTTTTATATATTTGTGATGCCTTGTTATGAAAGCGTTTTTTTTTTTTTTTTGGATATTTGGGTGTTTGTTTTAAGACTTTAGATTGGCGGGGATGTTTTTTCTCCCGCCAATGACTTTTCGTTGCCAACCTCTATGCCTCACTTCTTATTTTTCTCTATGTGTATGATTATCTTGTAATCCAATTCCACGTTTTTGCCTATCACACTTGTATCCATGGCTCAGGTAAGTTTCCTGTTTCCCTGCATTTTCAGTGATGAGTTGGCAGGAAGTTGTTTTAAGCGATTACTGTTTTCAATGTTGCAACATCTGTGTGAACTGTTTAACTCCCCCTTTTGCCCCTCAATTTAGTTAGCATTACTGACCACGCGGACATGGCCAATCCTCAAGTGTTAGGGAGGTGTTTGCTATTATAAATGACATGGGTAGTGTGATTAGTTGAATCTTAGCGCCTTGATGAGGATAATTGCATATATGTGTAAATTTTTCACGTACTTTCACATTTTTTATTCATTTGCTCCTCCTAACATTAGTAATTAAGTAAGACATAATTTTTGTTGAATTTATTTACTTTATGGCTTAACTTTGCTCACACTCAGCTCAGACATTATATGATGAAGGCATTTCGTTCCACGTGCCTCTCTTTTTTATCATTATGTGTCCTTGTGAGAACTGGCTGGTTTGGATTACCATTCAAGTAATTAAAATGAAAAGGTCCCATTTTGTATAATTATGTGTGTTGTGCAGAAGTTTGATCGGAAAGAGTGTGTGATTGGAAAGAACATATGGAATACCCTCACTTTGGTACTGGTTGAAAGATGATGGATTTGTTCTGGCTGTAAAAGTCACGCATCTTAGTTGAAGCAGTGTGTCGTGAGGAAAGGGCAGGAGAAGACAAGAAGAGAGAAATTGTCTCTATGTGAGGTGAGAATTTCCTGGCTGTTGAGAAAATTCTCACGGCTTGAAGGACTGAAGGTTAGTAATTGTTGTTTACTTGTATCATTGTGACAGTGTTGTATGATTAATATTCTAGTGGAAAGTTTAATCTGAAAATATCGTGTTTTCCCTTAGTGGAGAGGGGTTTCCAAGGAAATATTTCATGTGTTGTTTTTCATTTTTATTATTCTACACTTAGTTATTATTCTCTACAGTATTTCTTGTTTTTCGGTGATTTTCCCAAAAAAAAATACCGAAGTTCATACGAGGATAATCATTTAGTAAAGTAACAATATAACAAAAACCTAACTAGACACAACCGAGCAAGCACACCAAACTTCAATACTCCCTCCGTCCGGAAATAATCTTCCCGTTTCTCCTTTTTCTCCGTCCGGAATTAATCTTCCCATTTCTAATTTTAACACCAAATGTTCCAAAAATACCCCTTCCATCAAATCTCACTCTCACTCTCTTCTTTCTTCTTCTTTCTCCCTCCTCTTTTTTCTCCATCGGCCCCAATGCCCCATCTCTCCTTTATCTTCTCCTCTCTCCCTCTCTTCTCTCTCATACTTCTTTTCTTCCTGGATCTACATCTTTTCTTCCCTAGTTCCCTTCCTCTTCTTCGATTTCTTCTCTTCCACACTCCTCTTCCTCTTTCTTCCCCTTTCTCCTTTCTTATCCATCTCCTCCTAGATCTGGCAGATCTATAGCTTTATCTTCTCCTCCTCCCTTTTCTCTTTCTTCCACGTGTGACGATGGCGGATGATGGTGACGATGAAGCCGGCACGGTGGTGTTGATGGTGGGCGCTGGCGGTGACTGTGATGAGGGGCGGTGGTGGGGCTGTCGACTGTGATGAGGGCGGCGGTGGGGCTGTCAATGGTGGTGTTCGGGCTGGCGGCCGTGAGTGCTTGCAAGGGTGGCGACGGTGTTAGGGCTGGCGGCGGTAAGTCCTCTGAAATTCTTCTCTTCCCTCTCTCCCAGATCTACGGTAGATCTGTAATAGATCTTGGCTGAGGGCTGATTGTGGTGGGGGCTGGGTGGCGGAGCTGACGGCGACGATGGAGCCAGTGATGATGAGGGCGGTGGTGGGTGCTAGCCCTAGCAGAGATCAGGGGAGGGGAGGGCAGGGTTGGGGTTGTAAAACAGGAAAGAATTAAAGGGTAAATTGGACATTTCTCTCCCAAAGTCAACACTTCATAAAAATGAGAAAAAGTCCAAATGGGAAGATTAATCCCGGACGGAGGGAGTAGTTCAATGTGAACTAGTTCAAAGGGGCATGTGCTTGTTTATTGACTCTGATAAGATCCGGATTACTAATAGCAGGCCACCTTAATTAAATTATTATGTGTGGTTTTAATTGAGTTTGTTACTGTTTTAATTAAATAATTATTCATTAAATAAAAAGGACTCAGATTATTAGGGGTCTTTAGCTTAGTTTGTTAGACCTTATCAGTTAGTTGTTTTGAACTTATCAGATCAATTTGTTATTTTGATCTTATCAATTTGTTAGAGTTATTATAAATATCCCAGGTTCTCCATTGCTGAGATATCCAGAAAATAAATCATTATTCACATTGAGATTATCTTGGCTTATATTCCTTTTTCATCAGTGAGATACTTATTAAGAGAAGAAAGGAAGAGTTCTGTTTAGTCTTAATTTAGATCTTGAATTAATTCAATGGGATCGGCCCGGGGTGCTGGTTCAGATTCTACCATTGACCCAAACCAAGAGGGGTAAAAAACTTGACCCAATCTCACTCGCCCCAGCCACTTGCATTCTCAGGATCTTCGGGCTCAAAACCAATATTCTAGTGGAAAGTTTAATCCGATAAACTATAACTCAACATTTAAGAGGGCAACTAATTTTATTTTAAAAACTAACTTTTGAACATAAAATTAGGGAGACTTTAGAAGAAGGTTTGGGTAGATGACAGGACAATGGTACATGATCTAAGTACTAATGAGGTGGATCTATTAGCCATGGTGGCATTAATATACTTTGTAATTATTAATATAAGGCAGTGTCAAATGATGAAAAAAGACTAGTTATTTTTTATATGGTTTGTTTGCACTTGAACCAATGACCAATTTAGTTGACAAAACAAGACAGGTAACCAATAACCTAAACTCCCAATAACTGAGATAGGAGTGCATGAACACTTAGATTCTATAGGTAGTTATGAAACTTGTGTTTTCCTCTATAGTGTATGATAGGGCCTTCCATATAGAATTTTCTAGGAAGCTCGTAACTGTCATTCGTTTGTGTAATAACATGACTAAGGGGCATTATCGTATTGAGCTCTTCATACATCTTTTTGAATCCATGAAGTACATTGTAACCAACTTCTCTCTCATTTCCACCTTGTAAAAGACCTAACACACCATGTACTCTGTATATAACCAAACAGAGGAACAAGATGCAGGCTTGAGCAAAGGAAACCAAAAGACGGAAAACAGGCCACGCCTGGACAAGGTATGGCTTAATAATAGACCCTGGCACATTGATGTTTGCCTAAACCATAAAAAACCCTAAACGCAAAATTAAAAACCCTAAAAAACCCTAAACCCAACGCCTAAACCCTAAAAAACCCTAAACGCAAAATTAAAAACCATAAAAAACCCTAAACCCAACGCCTAAACCCTAAAAAACCCTAAACCCAAAATTAAAAACCCTAAACCCAACGCCTAAACCCTAAAAAACCCTAAACGCAAAATAAAAACCCCTAAAAAACCCTAAACCCTAAACCCTAAAAAACCCTAAATGCAAAATTAAAAACCCTAAAAAACCAGAAAAATCACATCACGCACCAGCACAGCATCAGACGCTAGAAGCGGGATGTGTGACTCACTCATGAGGAAATCTGGACGATGGGAAGTCCGTGGTGAACTTGTTAGCGGCAAGCGCACCACCTGGGATGCTCAGTATGTGGAATAGTATGTGAAGTGGCATGACTTTGAAAGGAAGGAAATGGGGTTTCTAAAATAACAAAGTTTCTAAAAAAGCTTTAGAAATATTTGCACTAAATAGCACTAAAACGTAAGTCATTTCCCAATGTAAGACTTAAACTTTTTATTCCTTAAATAGCACTTAATAATGTCTAGAAGGAGGAATAATGTCCAGTGATGGTGAACATTTACTTGAATAACGACTAATGGATAATGACTAAAAGTGCTCCATTGAGAAATAAAAGCATATGATGCTATTTAGGGAAAGTCATTGTGTTTTGGTGTTATTTAGGTAAATTCCTCAAAGCTTTAATGTTCTGCGAACTGCTCTTATATGATGTTAACAAATGAAAAAAGGATTACACACACATTCACACAAGCTCTGATGCTTAAATGCACTGGGTCCATAGAGCTAGGACAACACTCAATCACTCATTAGGGTTCAGTCTACACGTGCTTAATATATATCGCACGGAGTGCTAATCAAAGCACATTGCATGCAGTTGCAAGTGAAGAAGAAGACATTGTCAGTAGCCTGAAGGAGATTATAATATATTGCAAAAATGTTTTTGGAAGGTCAAGGATAAGGCGAATTTAATAACTGTATATGCTCTAAACCGTAACATAAATATGTAAAAACGCAGATGATAACTAATGTTTATTTTCAGAAATCCGTTCTTTTTTACCTAACAGGATCTGCAACATGAATAATCTAAACACATTGATTGATGAGAGCATTTGGCAAATTATGCCATGAGAAGCAAATTGCGAAGATTCTTTTTACTTGAAAGTTGAAATAAAAATACGCAACCAGTTGAGCTTTGAACAAATAGAAAATTCTTTGGAACTTATATTTGAGAGACTTACAGAATTCGCAACATGGGTAATTGTGATAACTCAGGTGGAAGATATCCTGAAAGGTTATTATTGTCCAAAAGCCTGTTATACAAAGATACAGAGAAATATCAAATTGAGATGCCGGCATGTGTGTTTAGCCATCTACAATATTTGTTCGTGAGGAAAAAAAGAGAACAAGCTGTATTAACTCACAAGTGAATAACAGTAGTTAAATTGGATAACTCGGGCGGGATTTGACCACTGAGGGAGTTATTGTTGAAGTGGCTGCAGATTTATAAGAGTTATCAGATAGATAACAAGGTGTTGCTTCTGAACTTTTTTTTCATCACAGAGTAACACTTTGTTGAGGTGCACTCACATATGTCCCATACTTTTCAAATGCGAAAAGGACTTTGGTATGACTCCAGATATCTGGTTCTGGTCTATCTGAAATCTATTTAGCATTGGGAGATAGCCAAGCTCATCGGGTAAAGGCCCAGATAACTTGTTTCCATTTAGAAGCCTGAAAAAAGTAGCATGGTTTTTGTGTCAACACAATAGATTTTTAAAACTGTAGTAAAAGAATTCACAAGCATCAAGCTCCACTTCTTCCTGAAAAGACAAGTTACATCCTTGTATTTCTTAGTATATGGTCTTACTGCTGGGCACTCCATATCAGCGAGTCTCGAAAGAAAAGCATGAACAAAAAATAGAACTATACAAGTCTAGATACACATGTTTAAACTTACAATAGCTTCAAAGATTTGAGGTTTCCTATCTCCTTGGGTATACAATCAGTTAATTCGTTCCACATAAAATTTCTGCAGAAAATTGGACAAAAATTAAAATACAAGCAAACCAGATGGAAAAAAAACAACTTAAACTATATGGATCCATTGGAAAGGTGGATATAAGACTACACAACGTCTCTTAAACGAACTCACAGAATTTGAAGACGAGACAGCTGTCCAAGCTCGGGTGCTAATTTTCCAGAGAGATTCATATTCAATAGATGGCTGCAACATTAGAGATGAATATGATCAACAAAAGATAAAAAGAATAAGAAAATGGCACTGGAAACCACCTACATCTCCCTGATATGCAAATAGGGGCCGCCGTCTCTAAGAACACCAGAGCAAATAATTCCAGTCCAGTTTGAGGTGCAAGGATCACCCGTCTCCCAATCATCAAGATTCTTCATGCCATCAATCAGACTGCTCTTCACTGCCCTCAAAGCTGAGACTGCCAACACATAAATTTTGGTAAATTTCCAGAAGTAACTCACTCTTTCAGATCCCAATAATCATTTTCTATGTTCCTGAACAAGAAGAGATTTGAATCCCTAACCTTCAGCGGGTTCAGTAACATGAGAAACTGAAAGCGTCAGGAAGCAAGAAAATGTAACAAGAAGAACAAATCCACAAGGCCTCACTCTGTACATCTTCAATCTCTAGCAATCATTACAACTCCGAGCTTCAATGGGGTTGGCTAATGGCAACTAAAGGAAGAGAGTTTCATCCATCCTTCCCGAAAGAAAAGTCTCCGCTTTAAAAGAAGGGTGGGAGTCGTACCGAGGACTTTCGCTCCGGTCAAACAAAGCACGATTGTACTCGGCATAGCCTTTAGACAGTTGAGCGCCAAAGTTGACATCCGTACTTCTTTTGAAAAGTAGTTTTTATTGGAGGATGCTACATGCTTCAAAATTTGTACCTCATTTGTACACTAAAAAGATGCACTAACAATTTGATGGTTTACACTGACACAAAATATTGATGCGTTACCAAAAGTTTACAATGACACAAAGTGTTGGTGCGTTAACAAAAATTAGCATTACACAATACAAAATGTTGATACATTCCTGCAGGATATAAAATGGGGTACAAATAGCATTATCCATTTCTTTTTATCCTTTCCCTCTAAACTTTTTAAAAACAAAAATGATAGAAGAGAGAAATAAAAAAGAAATGTATGGTGAATAATCTTGTGGTGTACAAATGGAATACATTTTTAGTGCACCTCTTTAATTCTTCTTTTAAAATATATGCAGATTCAGTTGAACTTTATAAGCTGTACCAATATCGCATAAACTTTTAAAATGCTGCACCAATAGTCCATTTGTGCTAGATTTGGAAGTGTATTAATCATATGTTCATCAATATATCTGTTGGAGCTTAATAAAGATGTCATATATCAATGAAAAAAGTAGATCGATTGATGACAAGCTTTATCAATGGATGCCCGAGCTTCGAACTTGAATAGTGACGACTAAATTGAGAATAATTTTCTAGGATTTAATGAGGTAAAAGATAATGTTTCAAAACGGCATATTGTAGAACTCACGTATGATATATGACTTTAGTAGAATCTATACTTGCACTGGATGAGCATGTCATTAACACTCCTAAATCTGGTGTAGAAGAACCATTGTTGTAATATTTTTAAAAGTTTAGGAGGCATTAATGCAATTTTAGTTTAGAGGGGGTGATGGTGTAAAATACCCAATTTAATTTACCATTGTGGTTTCTTTGTGTACCAATTAAGTCGGACAAAGTATTAAAAAGATACGAAGTCAAATGGGTTGTAGGTGGAACACATGTCACCCGGTTATTATATTTGACTTTGACACCCAATATAACTTTTCTTTCACAATCCCTTTTCTCACTCTAAGATGTTGTCCCCTTCTTGGGGAGTTTACACAAGTATTTATAGGGGACAAAAGGGATAATATTTTATTATTCTCTAGTCATCCCACTATCACTTCCACTATAGCCATCCTTGTGTCAGGTTGAACTTCCTCCCACTGGATATGCAGCATGGGAGTTGTCACATCATCCTCACTTGTGATGTCAAACCCAAGTGGGGCTAATATTGGTGACTTATCCACTGGTTAGTCACACGCTCTTGAGCGGTCGCAACAATATCGTCTACCTCGGAGGTTGTCCGGCCAGTCATCTGGGTTGTAAGCCATGCACTGGCTCGAAGGTTGTTAGACTGGGCTATCATGGGTTTACACCCATCAAGGAGTCCTCCACTTCCACCCTTATGGGGACCATCAAGGGTTGGAAGTTTTAAATTAAACCAGTTCTCTGCGAAATCCCGCCTGATCTAAGTTTTTTAGTTTTGAATTTTCCTTGCTCAATGGGCCGAGTGCTCTCTCAACTTCTAGGGCCCATCCATAATCTTACCCGTTGAACCACCTAGAGCAGTGATACTTGCAGTGTCGTCACCTCAATCGTCGTGTCACTTCATCTCTCTAGATAATGATGGTTTCTCATTGTTGCCTCCGCCACATGTCTTGCGCTGGTAGGATCCTTAAGGTGGCATGTCCTCTATATAAGTAGTGGCTCCTCCTTCATTTTGTCACTTTACATCTTGAAGCTTTCAGAGAGCCAACTAGGCACATTTGAGTTGACCGATCCTCTAGTTCTTCAAGTAAGCCTTCTTTCTTTCTCTCTTAACTCGTAGTTCTAACTAGGTTAATCATGTCTAAGATCAAGGATAGCCAGAACGTCACTATAAACTCTTACGCTTCTAGTTCCCAACCCTCTTGAAACAACTCAAAACAAGGCCCCCAGTTCCACTGGGGCACGGGTAGTGATTGTCACCCAATTGAGGGAGGAAGGCTATCTCTGGATAGACGACTACTCCATTGGAAACCTCCCTTTGTGTATGTCAAAGGAGCACATCCACAAGCTTCGCAATCTTCTACATGATGGCGACACTCTTTCTTACCAGAGATTTTAGGAGAGTATCATTCCTCTGAACTTGGAAAACACTTTAGGGAGTAAAACCTTCATTGTAACTCAAGCTCAACCAAGCTAAAACAAGTGATATCGAGATCATAGTTTCTGAGAGTTTATCATTATACTTGTTTGTGTTCTTCTTATTTCTGCAGTTAGTGAGCTTAGGCCCCACTTCGTTCAACTTATTTTTTCCTATTCTTATTAAAATCAGATCAGATCGAATTAGATTAGATCAGATCAGATCCAATCAAGAATTATTATTATTATTATTATTATTATTATTATTATATTTATTGTTTTTGTTGTTGTTGTTGTTGTTCTTAAAAATGAAAAAAAAATAATCTTTAGAAACAAGTTAAATAGAAAACTGAGAAAGTAATCCTTAATTATTAGACGTCGGAAAAATTATTTTTAAAATACATTGACAATGTCAATCTAATTCTAATTTTAAAATACATTTTTAGTGCTACCTGTAATTTGAGTTTCTAAAGTTTGAATCTTTTATAAGGATGAGATATTTTAATAAAAATACTATCTCTTCTATATATTGATTATCTAAATTTAATTATTTTTTAATGTATATATAAATTAAATATTTATTCTAATGTATATATGAAATAATTATTAAAATATTAAATTAATATTTTGTCCAAAAAATAATCATAAAATAAAAAATATTATTACATTTTAATATGAATGATTATTCTAATAAATGAATTAACTAATTTTGTTTTATTAAAAAATAATCATAAAATTAAAAAAAGTGATTATATTATAATATGAATTATCATTACAATTTTCAAACGTTATTATAAAGTCAAATCAAATTATTGATTTATATTTTAAATCAAATCATAATTAATCAGAACAGACCAGACCAGATCAGATCAGATCCAATCAGATCAAAACTACAAAAAATCAGATCAAATCAGAAAAAATAAGTTGAACGGAACAGAGCCTCAATCTGGTTATCATTCTTATTCGAGAATATGAAACATGTTTTACTCTTATCAAAGTAGATTTCTTATAAATTAAAGAAGCCTTCCAATATAAAAGTAGTCAAGATAGTCTTTTATATCAAGATTGCAACAAATCATTTTTTGGAAGATGCGAATGAGTCATGGTTAAATATCAAGGTAACTAGTGATCACCAAAGAAAAAAAAATGGAGTAATAATCTATTCTTAATTTAAAAAGAGGGGAAAGCTCCATTTCATTTTCCCGCCTAAATGGTCTTCACTCTAAAATGATAATTGCTAAACTTGAATAGGTAAGTGTTTAATGTCAATTCGCCATTAAAAGATAATTCATTTTTTTTGATTTAACACGAACCATGTGTAATAAATTAAACACATGTGAAACGTAACTGATTAAGATGTAACGTGTGTAATAAAATAAAATATTGAAATGGTAAGTAACACCAAAAAGGTGTGTAATAAATTACAATATTGAAATGGTAAGAAACACCAAAAACATAATTTATATTTATAAATTAGGATGTAATTAAAAACACAGAAATGGTAAGTAACACCAAAAAAGATTTGTAATAAAATAAAATGTTGAAATGGTAAGTAACGCAAAAAACATAATTAATATTTACAAATTAAGATGTAATGTGTGTATAAAAATGTAATTAAGGTATATTAAATTTATGATACGGTGTTATCCATACTTTATTTAAAAAGAGATGGAGTCAACATATGGTTTTCCCGCCCATGCGTTATTACATTAACAAATGACAACTATTCACTTAAAATGGTAAGTTGCCAAAAATATAATAATGATTATTAAAAACTTGCGCTTGTGCTTAATTTTCCATGCGTTATTACATTTACAAATGGTAATTGTTCATTTAAAATCGTAATTTTTATTATATTAACAAATGGCAATTGTTCACTTAAAATGGTAAGTAGCCAAAAATATAATAATAATTATTAAAAACTTACGTCTGTGCTTAATTTTCCATGCGTGATTACATTTATAAATGGCAATTGTTCACTTAAAATGGTAATTTTTATTATTAATCTAAAAAAATGGTTTAAAAGCTACAAATACAGTTCCTTTTTTATTACAAGGTATTAACCATAATAATTAAAGAAAGGTAAGTTAAAATGGCGGAAAGGTAAGTTAATTATTGTGAAGTGGAAATTAATATTAATATTACTTTTAACACACAATGCCCTTAAAAACGTGATATTATTAATCTAAAAAATAATTATTATTATTAATCTAAAAATATTAGTCTAAAAAAATGGTTTATAAGCTATAAATACAGTTCCTTTTTCATCACACGGTATTTATCAATTCGTATGGAGTGTACTAATTGTACAATTTCGTACAATTTTATCACTCCATACAATTCCTTTCGTATATTAATTTTAACCTTTTTTTGGATGTAGGGTTGTTCGGAATTTGTTCCTTTTTTATCACACGGTATTTTAATACCGTAAATAACTGTCATTTTTATACAGCCAATTGAAAATAATTACAAATGGTAAGTTATACAATTATACACCCAATTTCACAAAAAAAACTGGAAATAATTAAAAAAAAGGAAATTTATACAATTATACACCCAATTTCACAAAAAAGATAATTTGAAATAATTCAAAAAGGTAAGTTATACTACTGAATGTGAGTAATATAAATTGGAAATAATTACAAAAGGTAAGTTATAATACTAAACGTGATTAATATGAATTGGAAATAATTAAAATTTCAATGACCTACACTCTCCCGAATTCTTAAATAAGATTCGAGCTTCTAGTGTACCGAATCATGAGTTAACTCTGAAGGTAGGCACGCCTATTATGTTATTGAGAAATATTGACAATTCAATGTGTTTATGTAATGGTACACGGTTGATAG